GACCCACCAGGCTTTAATTCACTATGTAATCTATAACGGTAATGCCCGTTTTGAGGTTAAGCAGTTCACGATTGCAAAAACCTAACGATACCGATTATATGATTATAACCATTTTAACTGCATTATATATTCACACATTGAGGAATTAGGCTGGCCTGTGATCCATCGGTAATGTCTGTGCCAATCTGGCTTTTCTGCCGAGTCAGGACAACGCTGGGAGCAGGAGATGGATATGACACCTACCAACTATAAAACCTTTAAGTGTCTGGCTGTGTCTGCAGGTTAACAACCCGTCTCCCCACACTGGAGACGGGTATTTTCACCTATTTAAGGACAGAGATTTAAAGTACAGAATTTGACAGTAACACAGAAAAATGAATATTTCCTCTGAAATATGGCATATAATAGTGTGGCATTGTTTTCTGCGTTTAACTAATCCTGAAACATGTCGTTTTGAGTACAGTCAAATTCATTTATATGGTCTAATTTTACATTTACAGAGAGTGGTCAATAAAGATGCGAAGATTATCAAATTTGAGGCATTTAACACATGTTTGCTTATACAGTATGAAGCAAAGTTGCCATTGGAGTTGCCTCCTTCCTAATTCCACCACCAAGCTAATGAAAAACAGCATGATTCATGAGAGGATTTAGGAGGGCTTAGCCTCATTCATTTATGTCCTACTGTAGTTTTCAATCAGAGTATAGTAGATTTTGAAGTTTCCCTAAAATCATTTGGCATTACAATACTTTTGTCTCAGCTCTGTGTAATGTATCTTCTAATGTTGACCATGTTATTTGTTGCTCAAATTCACCCTCAAATTGATGTCTGGTGTCTGTGCTGGTGCTGCCACACTCTGATCGTATCTACTATCTGACACACCACGAAGCTTTTAAATGACTCCATGCTGCCCTGTGACAGCCTGTTACAGATAGTGTTGATGCAGCATGTTCTCTGCCTCCTGTACTTTCTCAGTAGAAATATCCGAGGTGCACTGCTTCAGCAACAACGACTGACTTACACTGATTTCGTCTTTTTTACTTCTTCCTTCCTCCTGGGTCTTTTGCGATGACATTAAGTCAGACTGCTGTAATGTACGAAGTAGCACAACTGAAAAGAAAACCAGAATGCAGACTTGATAATAAACAATGATCTGAAAGGAAGTACTTATTTTTGAACTGTCCTGTACATTTTATACAAACCTATTTCGAACAGGCTTCACTGTGAAGGAAGTCCATATTTGTTGACATTTTTAGATATTGCTATGGCACTCTACTGTATTAAAGTTGACTTGGCAAGGTAGAGTTGCCGAATAGGAAATATGTTCTTCTCTATTATGCAAGAGTCATATTTATCACATTTTAAAAGACTATTTTATCGTGCTGTCATAAAGCCAGCCATGTTATTGAGAGGCGGAACGCCTGCTTTATAAATACAGTGTGCTCTCTCTCATTGAATATATTGATCATCTGAGTAACCAAGTGATGTGTTGTTTTGATTACTCAGCAATAGGTGTCAAAGCTGGTTTGTCTTGGGTCACTGAATGAAGCATTGCCTCTGATAGCTAGGGAGACAGGAAGTGTGTGTGTGTGTGTGTGTGTGTGTGTGTGTGTGTGTGTGTGTATGTTTGTGTAGTGTTTCCATGGGATGTGTAGCCCTAGTTGTGTCCTCAAGGGCTTCCTGCCCTGACGTGATTCTAATAGCATTAGCCACTGTCTGCTTCTGAATTCACTGGTGCATTATTTTTCTTCCAACACTCACACACACGCTTACACACACATCAGAACCCGGGGACAGAACCAATCATTGGGGATCTTCCGAGTCTTTTCTCATATGCTCTTGTTTATTTTTCAACCCCAGTCGCATACAACTTTGTATGTGTGTTCTGAAGTGATAATATTGTGCTTCCTGCACTGTGTTTAGAGACAGTGGGACAAATTGTTTAGGAGACGTTAAGACCCGGTGCTGTCTTAAGTCGGTGTGACAATCCTGGCTGTTTGTTGGTGCTGTGCTGGGCTAAGCATTCTCCCAAATCACCTGACAAACAGAGGCATTACCATACAGTACACACCATTAACCAATGAGCTTTATCTTTGCTCAAACTTCTGGAACTCATATTGCAAAATTACGCAGAGGCACTTCTTTAATAACTTTTCCCTGTAGGATTATGTGCTACGTGTCAAATACAGCATCCTTCCTTTTTGCAGTGGATTTGGGCTGCAACACAACTGGCTCTCTTCATACGCACCACATAGCAGGAGATGTGAGTGCGTGCAGAGAAGTTAAACCTGCACCACCATGACGTTTAGTGCTTTAAACGGTACAAATCAGAAACGTAATGTTAATAGCTGCTGTGTCCTTCTGGGATATGTGTCATGTTAGCTAGCAAGAGCCATAGAAGTCTGACCAAATGTGTTGTGTGACATACACTATTACACATGTACAGTCATTTTACTGGTTAGAAGCAAGTTGCTTTACAATTAAATACATGTTTGTTCTTATTGCAGCAAGGTCTAATATTATTTAACGAATGACAGACACATGTCACATTCCAAGTACATTAAGGGTTATCTATCATTCTGAAACATTCATATGCGTCAACAGCAGATTTCAAAATACTCTATTTTGTTTTTGTTTTAAGCCACCCATGCCTTATTTCGAGCTCCCACTTTTAAGCTCATTCGGTGACTCACTGAGAATTTGAGTTATTACTTGCATCCCTTGGGAATCACACATCATATGTAAAACAACCGTGGAGGAGAGAAAACACTGCGTTTCACTCCTGTTCTCTATTCAAATTGGCATTATGAGATGATTGAAATAGAGAACGTGTCGCCCAAACCCCTTATGGATCCACAGTATGTTTTTCTCTCTTGTTTTCCATACAGCCTCTTCTGTGTCTGCCTCAGACTGTCGCAGTGAGTGTGTGTGGGAGGGGGAAAGCAAGTTTTCTCCATGGCTCATCACAGCCTTTAGCTCATAGTGCAGCTAAATGAGTGATTGTGTATCCGCTATCCCAATTAAGAGTGTTAATGTGTGACAGTGTGTGTTGAGGAAGTGTGAATGTGTTTATGTGAGTCATTGCTAACAAAGGAGTGGTAGTCTTTTCCTCTCTCTCTCTCTCTCTCTTTCTGTTTCTCTGTGTCACACGTGTTCGTTCATCAGTCGTCATCAGAAAAAAAGAAGCTTTCGCAGCTTGCAGGAATAATGTTAAATGAGCGGAAACATTACAGTTCAGAGAAGTAAGATGACATATTTTAACATGCTAACATATTTGATACTAATGCCATTTTCCCTTTCTGCAGTTAAGACATTCACAAGAAAGGACAGATAGTCTTAAACAGATTCCACAGAACACACTCCTTGTAACTGTCACTGCAAAACAGCCTCCTGCCTAATTGTAGCCACCCATAATAGCTTCAGGGTCCCTCTAAGAAAGCTTTGTCGTGGGAAATAAAACACAGCAGAGTAAGAATACACTTCCTTCCTCCACAGGAAGCAGCTGTTGCCATGGTACAAATAAAAAAGGTAAAACAATATGTACTGGCATAATCAATGGATGTACAAATGATTATTAGGCGGGGTGTGAGATTTATGTGAGTATCACTGCGTGGTGGGCGACTTTCTAATGATTTTGATATCTCCATCTGGTTTTAACATCGCGTCAGAGGATTAGTTTCAGAGCTGCGATGGATGCAGGCTACTAAATCACCACCATCCTATTTTCTTGTAATGAATAGCCTTTAATATCATTACCCGAAAATAAAACAAAGTATGCTCTTCCACTAACACATAATCCTCCTGTAGGATGTAGTGCAAGCAAACACATTGACTCACATAAAGGACTCCACACCCACGCTTGTAGTTATTTGCACAGACATGCAAATATCACATACTAAAAATGAAAAATGTATCATTTGGCTTGGTGTGTCTTATACATTCACTTAATGTTACTTCTGTGCTTTAGTCCAAGCGTTAAACCACAATTGTGTATGGTTGTGTACATGTGTGTGTTTTGTGTTTGTGAGCAAGACTGCATATGTCCAGTTATGCTCAAGTCCAGACTGTAGCTTGGCTCCTTTTTCTTGCTGGCTGCTACTTTTGGCTGCCAGTTAAAAGCAGGAAGAATACCATGTCCAATATGTTATTATGCATTCACTTAGACTCCATCTGCTCATGGTGGACTTATTTGCCTGCTCACCAGTTTAATGATCAAAAAGTAGAGTTTCTATCTGTCTTTGCTCTTTTCTAATACTTATTATATCGTGTATGCTTTTGAATCCTTAAAAACAACATGTAGAATTAACTCAAGACACTACTTATTTTCTCGGCTTACATGACATTTCATGTGCTGTAGTCTCTTTTGTAAAGGCGTTGAAGTACTTGTCTAAAATTGCGCCTTGGATCACATCAAAACACACAGTACACATTCTGTTTGTGTTTTTATGAGTGATACATTCACAGATAAAAGAGAATCCATTCATGAGCTAAGTGGTAAGAGATGGAGAGCCATTTCCTCTCCCACAACGCTGTGATGGGGCTAAATGAATCGTCAATGAATGCGCAATGACTGTTGACATTGATTTACTCTCAGTTGTCGTTTCCCTCTGTCTGTGTTTGATTGCGAGAGGTGATGGTTATCAGTACGCAATGCATTCTGTTATGCAGACAAGAGAGTTTACGATAAGAGCGCTTTGCGTGGGGCGAAGAGAAAGTGAGAGAATGATGGGCCTTTGGGGCTGGGAAGCGACACATTAAATATTGAGTTGTTAGCTGATGTTATGACACAAGGGGATTTGGTGCGATGCGGGAGTGACGGCATCGCCAAAAGCCAAAATCAAACTTTCAACCCATTTAATTGCTATTTATTTGAAGCCTGGTAATTAAATCAAATCAGTCATTTTGTCATGCAAAGTCTCTTGTAGATCTTTATTGTGTCTGACAATATGATAATCATTTAATTCCTCTAACCCCACTGTTAACTCGCGCTGTCTTTCAGATCTCGGCTGGGTTGCCATGACGAGCGAGGAGTGTCCTGTGTCGCTGGGGAGCATTTCCTCAGCAGGGCCAGGGCAGAATGAGGAGTACGGCTTGGCGCAGACTGATGACATCATTGAGGAAGTGGGTGCAGATGATGACGTCAGCATCGGCAGTGACCTGAGCACTCTCGTGTTGCCCTTCCCGGAGCTGGCACCCGTGGTCTTCTTCTGCCTGAAGCAGACCACCTGTCCTCGCAACTGGTGCATCCGTATGGTCTCCAGCCCATATCCTTTTCATCATACTCTAACCCTTATTATTCACCTATCTGTGCATCAGCTTAAAGCAATTGTTTATCTTCAAATATGTAGTGGTCCTCGTGCAATGCACTTTACATGGTATCTGTTTAAAACACCTTCACTCACCATCATTATCCTCATTCCTAACCTCTTCTATTCATTGCACTGCCTTTCATGCAACATCTTTTCATCTGCTCTTCTAACACTGGTGCTTCCGTCACTCTATATTCAGTCTTTTGAAAATATATATTTGTTCTGCCTATCCGTCAGTTTTTCTCTTTTGTTACATTGTCTGTCTCTGTTTTGAATTATTTTAATACATTTTCATCCATCTTGACTCTGACCCTTCACATTTCCCCTCACTCCTTTATGGATCTGTACCATATATAACAGCAGGCTTCTGAGAATCTTCTCAAAGTAAGTGTGTTTGACATCCTTATACAACCGCAACTGCATTGATCAGCATTGCACCACTTGAACAATGAAAAGCGTACGTGTATGTAAGTGTGTGGTGTGTGGTGTATTTCTTTGCGGCCAGAGAAGCAATTGTCTGTTTTCCGACCACCCTGATGTTGGCAGTGAGACAAAGGACAATGCTTCACATCAGGGACAGACAGGATCCAATGGGCTGACTGTCATGCAGGAGTGTGTGACTTATTGTCATGTGTAAGGAATAGCAAACCTTGAGAGGCAACTCGATTTGATCTTTTTCTGCACTTTTTAAATCACTGCTTTTTAAATATTTTATCATGAAACACACCTTAATAGGTTGAATTTTACAGATTAAACTGATTCTGTTCTCACCCTCTGAAGTAAATTAGGGCAATTGTCTGGTTTCTCTTTTTCACTATTTGTCTCATGCCTCTCTCCAGACCTGCCATCCAAAATCAAAATATACTCGTGCAACTTATTGATATATTTGCATTATGTTTCTTTACACGGCATGTGCAGTTAATGAATAATGTTTGAGGCATCCGTGAAATAGAAGAACATATGACCCATTCCTGTACAGTACATCTGTGCCTACTGGAAAACAATGTACTGAGTTACTCAAATGGTATATAACCACATAGCAGAACAAGAAATGTTGCAGTTAAATATATAAAAACCTACAGGCAATGAATTATGGATCACAAGGCATACGTTTCTTTAAAGCAATTACATTTGAGTAAAAGTCTGGATATACACATTTTAGACGGAAAAGGACTGAGGCATTCAGGCCAAAGCCCATGAAATCCCTTGTAAGTCAGGAGTTTGACTTCATTTTCAACCCATGCCTCTAGCGGAAGCCCTGTGAGGATAGATCAACAGCATGGTAATATGTCTGTACACAGACAAACAAATGGGTGGCCAGAAAAATCAAGAAGACAGCGTAGGCAGTCGAAAAGATAAAACTGGGCAGCGAAACCTTCTGTTTGCCTTTCAGACTCCATCTTTGATATTTAGAGGAAAAGAGGTTTCAGAAGGATTTTACACTGCTTGCTAATGGCTGAGCTCTGCTGCTCTCAGTTGGCCCCGAGCCACAGGGTAAAGCATGCCGCTGCATACTCACACTGCGCACACACACTCTCCAAATCTCATTTCCCTTGTATTTCCACCTCATGGGTTCGTAGACACCCGTTGTGGCAGAAACTGTGAGCATGTTGGAACACAGAGAGGCGCATCTGTGTGTTTAAGTGTTCGTGTGTTAAAAACATATATATCGAGTGTGTGAAGGTGAATACGATTATTTGTGTGTTTATAGTCCCAGAAAAAGTTTGTAATTGCTTTTATCTGAGGGGATTTTCCCCGTCTTGGAGTGTGTGTGTGTGTGTGTGTGTGTGTGTGTGTGTGTGTGTGTGTGTGTGTGTGTGTGTGTGTGTGTGTGTGTGTGTGTGTGTGTGTGTGTGTGTGTGTGTGTGTGTGTGTGTGTGTGTGTGTGAGAGAGTCTGTGTGCCAATGTTTTTGAGTCTTGAAAATTAAGTTGACAGGCCACAAATTGAAAGTTAGGATGAGAGAGAGAATGTGCACTCAAACCTCGCCTGAATAGTTCCAATTCTTTTCCCTTTCATCGTGTTTTACTAGTGATTTTGAAAAAACATATTTCAGTTATGAATCTGTAAAATAATCACGTGTGTGTGTGTGTGATGGCAGTTTATTCACAGGCTTTCTGCGCTTACTTGAGTAAGAATAGGAAGATGTATAAGTGCTTCTACTGTGTGTGGGACTTAAACTGGAGCAGGAGTTTGATGTACAACAACGATTTGTACCAGTTTGAGTGTGTGTATCGATCGCACTAAAGCAGACAGTACTGTATTACAGTAGCAGTCAGTACTGTATAAATATGTTAAGACTGCTTATGCACCGACAAAATATGAGCACAATACTTTTTCAATGATCAGCCTCATTGCAACGTCATCAAATAGTGTTTTGCTTGTGCTCAGTGCGGCATGTCTGAAGTCTGGATGTGTGTGTGTGTGTGTAGGGGGGAAAAAGTGGGTGTTTCACCATTTGTAGATCAATAATGCTCCTCACCACACAGTAGCTGGGAAAGGCATTTGGTGAAGCACACACACACACACACACACACACACACACACACACACACACACACACACACACACACACACACACACACACACACACGCTCTCCCACGCTTGCCTGCAGCAAAGCACCAGGAGCACCTCTCCATATTGCACCCCACACACTTCTTCTCCCTCTTCCCATTGCTTTTGCTCTTCAGAGTGCTCGCTCACACCATGCAACATAGATGAAGTTTAACCCTTTTGTGTTGTTTTTTAAACTCATTTTATTAATCTCACCTCAGTACCATTTGTCAAGTCTACTGAAATTGAAGTATATTTGATTTCCATGACTGATTCTTTCAACAGAGTAATGTTTATCGTCTCCCTGCTTTTCCATTTCTGTTAACCTTGTCCACTATTTTTGAATAGTCAGAAATATATATCTGTAGATTTCGGTCTTGATCTTGGTGGAAACTGCCATGTAGGATCATTTTACTGTCTTGGCAATCCACAGATATATCTCAAAGATTTAGTGTTGGATACTTTATACTAAATCAAATCTACAAATTAAGGATGATGAAAATAAGATTAAACTACTTTGCAATATGTCAAGTAGTTCAAACTAGCCTGAGCTTTACTGGCTGCATCATTAAAATCATGAACACATTAATGCGTCAATAACAATATTCAATAATGTAATGTCATTCTGAAATGGGCCATTCTACATACTTATGTGGAATAAGCCTTGATTGCAGGACATAAATAGCCGAGTATTTCCAAAATGTGACATTGCCTCTTTTTCTTAAGTAAATGATCTGAGTAATTCTGCTGACAGATACATGTGTACATATATTTTGTAGCGTATCCAGTTATGTCCTGCATCAGCAGCTTTTTCCCCCTCTTAATGTTGGATTTGACCCGTTTAAGGATTCTCTTAATTCAAGTCATTCCTCTTCAACTGCTTATTCCATCATCTCCTCTTCTCCGCTGCAGCACATTCTGTAGTTTTCCCCTGGTCAATCTTAATAAAGAGAGAGAAATAGAAGCGCAGGGACTTATCTACTGTAAGTGGTGAAGATCGACTCCCATCATTGCCTTGTTCTGCAGATCAAAATGAGAACATGTCAGGTCACTCATACTCCATTAAACCTCAAATCCTATCAAGTCCTATCGACTCGGTGAAACCTGACCGGTCAACAGTTACTCTAGAGAAGCAGTTGTTCATCACCTACACACAACAATCGTCTATTTCGTTTTATGCTATGTCCCTTTTGGCATGTACAGTCATTTTGTTTAATCTCATAATACATATAATCTCTCCGGGTGAAATGATTAGTGTAATGGTCTGCTGAACATTGTGCTTTTTCAGGGACTTCTTCCACTGTTTTCTGCAGTGCTTTTCCAGAATTGTGGTTATAATTTTTCAAATGGGCATTTTAAAGGTATTTCCAAAGTGGAAAGGCAGGGTAATTACTTGCAGTACACAGCATTTCAGAACGCAAATGTGCTGACACTTGTATAGAGTGTATACACACATAATTGAGTAGTATAGCTCTAGGCACCATTCTTTTTTTCCGCCATCCTAACAATTTTACATTTCTATGAACTTATATATATTTCCCCACTTCTTCCTCCCCCCTCCTCCTCTCTCACGTGTTTTGCACCTACTCTTATCTTTTTATCCCTATAACCTCCTCTTGGTGCCTCCGCCTTTGTCTTGCCTCTCTCTCTCTCAGAGCTCAGTAACTATCCTTCTCCTCACATTATCTCCCTCTCTCCCTTACCACTCTGATTGGCTCCTGTGGTGTTTGAGCAGAGTGACCGGCCTCTGTGGTCCATGATCCTATGTGGCCCTGACAGCTTGTTATCTCCATGGTGACGGATGGCTGAGGCGTTGCCGTGGCTTGCTTTTAACTACTGCTGAGGATAGAGCGCACACCTGGGGCACATTACCCACTCTCTCATCTCCTCGCTCCCGCTCTCTGCTCTTCTCTTCCTCTCCCTCTTCCTCTCCTCTTCCTCTCCTCTTCCTCTCGACTTCTACTTTCTGTCCTGTTTTCTGTGGCTGTAGTTGGGAAAGCTGCTGTGGGGCTATGCGGTAGATGTCTTCTTGTGCTATGACACTTGCTGCGAGGTGTGATGGATGCGTGTGCATGTAGATGTTGAATGGCTGTTTCCCTTGTTATGACATGATGCTTTATTAAAGAACATCAAAAGCCTTTCTTTAATTCTCTTTTATCTGATGCTTGTTCTCCTGTCTGTTTTCTGTCATCCCTTAATTTATTTATTTCAATTTTTTTTTCGCTCACAAATGCAGTCACTCCCTTCTACTTATGCATCAATTTCCCCTTCTTTAAGATCTTGTCACCCTTAAAACCCCCATATACCTGTATGCCTTAATCTCTGCTTTTAAAAAGAGGTGTACACATTAATAAGACCAACCTCTATTAAGGATAATTAAAAAGTATTAGAATACTAATACT